TTAGTTTACTTATGTGTACTGAAAATTGTTTCTAAGAATAGATTAGAGTTTTAGCTTTTTAAACTTACAAAGTTATCAAAGAAATAAAGCCAACTGCAAAAAAAGAATCAGCAGAATGTGGTAATCGAATCATAAAGGACAGTCAGGTGTGCTTACACATAGTCAAGAAAAGATGATTGCTGTTGAATCACTCCCTGGTCTGTATTGTTTCTATAAGTTGATTATATTTCTATAACTTTTTTTATTGCATGCATTGTCAATACTTTGTTTAAATGTTTCTTTGAGGACAGAGAATGTATTTTCATTTTGTATTTTACTTTGTTGGCCTGTGCCTGACATCCTTGGGCATTAGGGATAGAAACTAGACTAGAGTGATCTGTCTAGAATGCACTTCTTATTACTTGCTGTTACTCCTCTGTCTAAACCTTTCAGTGAGTCTTACTGCCCTTTTGTTAAAATTAAGATTGTTGGCCTTTGCTTACCCCTGTAGTTTATGTCTTACCTTCTTTAAATCTTTTTCTTTTACTTCTTCATATCTTCACCTCTGCCAAAAAAAGCCAATAAATAGGTAAATATAAACATAACACCCCCCTCCTCAAACACACAAACACAGAGCCATCCCTTTTTAATCCGTACTCAGATGTTTTCTTTTCCTTCAGCATTGATGCAGGCAGACCTTATTTTATTGCACTTCTTTGTATTGTCCTTTGCAGATAATGGCATCTTTCACAAATTGAAGGTTTGTGGCAACCCTTCATTGAGCAGGTCTTTCAGTGTCATTCTTCTAATAGCATTTGCTCACTACATGTCTCTGTGTCACACTTTGGTAATTCTTCAGTATTTCAGACTTTCATTATTATATTTGTTATGGTGATCTATGACTAGTGATCTTTGATAATACCGTGGTAATTGTTGCAGAGTGCAACAAACCATATAAGATGGCAGACTTAACTGATAAATGCTGTGTGTGTTCTGACTGTTCCACCAACTGGCTGTTCCCCCCTTCTCTCTCCCACTCCTTGTGCCACCCTATTTCCTGAGACACAGCAGTATTGAAATTAGGCCACTTAACAATTCTCCAGTGGCCAGTAAATGTTAAAGCAAAAGGAGGAGTTGTGCATCTCTCACTTTAAATCAAAAGCTAGAAATGATTAAGCTTAGTGAGGAAGGCGTGTCAAAAGCCAAGATAGGCTGAAAGCTAGATCTTCTGCACCAGTTAGCCAAATTGTGAAAGCAAAGCAAAAGTTCTTGAAGGAAATTAAAAGTCCTGCTCCACTGAACACACAAATGATAAGAAAGCAAAACAGCCTTCTTACTGATATGGAGAGAATTTTAGTGGTCTGGATAGAAGGTCAGACTAACCACAATATTTTTTTAAGCCAAAGCCTAATTTAGAGCAAGGCCCTAACTCTTCAGTTCTGTGAAGGCTGAGAGAGGTGAGGAAGCTGCAAGAGAAAGCTGGCAGAGGTTAGTTCATGAGGTGTAAAGGAAAGAAACCGTAACATAAAAGTGCAAGATCAATCAGCAAGTGCTGATAGTATAGAAACTAGTTTATAGCAGCAAGTTATCCAGAAGATCTAGCTAAGATAATTAATGAAAGCAGCTACCGAAACAACAGATTTTCAGTGTGGATGAAACGGCCTCATACTGGAAGAAGATGCCATCTAGGACTTTCATAGCTAGAGAGGAGAAGTCAGTGCCTCGCTTCAAAGCTTCAAAGGACAGACCAACTCTCTTGTTAGGGCTAATGCAGCTGGTGATGTTAAGTTGAAGCCAATGCTTATTTACCATTATGAAAATCCGGAGGCCCTTAGAATGATGCTGAATCTGCTCTGCTTGTGCTCTATCGATGGAACAACAAAGCCTGGATGACAGCACATCTGTTTACTACATGGTTTACTGAGTATTTTAAGTCTGCTATTGAGACCTACTGCTCAGAAAAAACATTCCTTTCAAAATATTACTGCTCATAGTTAATGTACCTGGTCACACAAGAGTGCTGATGGAGATGTACAAAGGTATCTGTGGTGTTTTCATGCCTGCTCACACAACATCCATTTTGCAGCCCATAGATCAGGGAGTCATTTTGACTTTTAAGTCTAAGAAGTACATTTTGTGAGGTTCTAACTGTCATATGGAGTGATTCCTCTGATTCACCTGGGCAAAGTCAACTGAAAACCTTCTGGAAAGGATTCACTATTCTAAATGCGATGAAGAACATTTGTGATTCATGGGAAGAGATCAGCATATCAGTTTTAACAGGAGTTTGGAAGAAATTGATTCCAGCTCTCAGGAGTGACTTTGAGGGATTTAAGACTTCAGTGGAGGAAGTAACTGCAGATGTGGTGGAAATAGAGAACTAGAATTAGAAGTCAAGCATGAAATGTGAATGAATTATCTTTGTAATTAAACGTTAAACAGATGAAGAGTTGCTTCTAATGGATGAGCAGAGAAAGTGGTTTCTTGAGATGGAATCTACTCCTGGTGAAGATGCTGTGAAGATTGCTCAAATGACAACAAAGGGTTTAGAATGTTATGTAAACTTAGTTGTTAAAGCAATGGCAGGATTTGAGAGGACTGACTCCAATTTGAAAGAAGTTCTCCTGTGGATAAAATGAAATCAAACAGTACTGCATGCTACACAGAAATCATTTGTGAAAGGAAAAGTCAGTCAATACAGCAAAGAAACTTCATTGTCTTATTTTGAGAAGTTGCCACAGCCACCCCAGCCTTCAGCAGCCACCCCTGGTTAGTCAGCAAAGCCCTCCGCTAGCAAAGAGCTGGGCTTGCTGTGAAGGCTCAGATGATATAAGAAGGGGTTTTTTGGGCAATTAGCCGTAAAATAAAGTATTTTAAATTAAGGTTTGCATAGTTTTTTAGACATAATGCCTTTGCATACTTGTAGACTGCAGTGTACTGTAAATGTAACTTTTATATGCACTGGAAAACCAAAAAAGATGCTGTGACTTGCTTTATTTTGATTTTCACGAGCCGACCTGCAGTGTCTTGAGGTGCTCCTGAACCATGTTCCTAAACCACGTTCCTCTTGTCTTCATGTATTTGCATTTGCCTTCTCTCTCTCTCTAGCATACATTTATTGGCGAACTTCTGTTCATTTCTGCTCCATTCCATGTGAAATGTCACTGCTTATGAGCAACCTTTTGCCACCCCCCCCAAGGCCCTTCAGAATATTCCCCAGAAAGCGTTTATCATATGACATCCTAACTGGTTGGCTTGCTTGGTGTTGCACTAAACTCAGTGAGGCCAGTTGACTACGTGTGTGGTTCACTCGAGTGTATTGTGATGGGAAGTTTTACACTCCATGCAGTCCATCCTCAGTGGACTGAAAATTTTAGAACATGAAGTAGTCTCTGCTTCGAGATAACCTCTGAGATCTCTGAGACCATATTTTAGAAGTTGTTTTGTTTTTTATTATGAGCTATTTAATTTTCCAGGAAAAGAAGAATTAGGAAGCTTTAAACTCTGTAATTGTCTTCTCTTAAACATGTGTATCTCTAACTGCTCTGGCCCCGTCAAGCCGCTGAGGTTTGAACTCTGCCACTGGTGTGGAACTGCAGGGGTGACTCAGGGAACCTGTAATTTAAGTAACAGCCAGTTCTTCTCAGTCAAAATGTAAGGAGAAATGCGCATGTAAATCTCTCATATGTATTGGGGTCTTGATAACTGTTCTTAATAAATCAGCGTTTCTTTCAAGTGCAGTGACAAAACATTGAAATATTTGTGCTAATCTTTGCACACCAGTGTCTCTCACTGAATACGTATTTCCAGTTTGTTCTAGTCTCAATTAACTGTGTACATACTTTACTTAACTTTACTTCCTGATTTCTATGTACCTGCATAATCATGCTGATTTTTTTTACTAAATTTATTATATTGTTAGTTTCTTAATATCCCATTCAAGATAGACTATAATTTTCCCAATTTTTGCTGTTATAGTGTGGAAAATTCATGTTCCCAATTTTACTCTTGATATTTTTCAGCTCTGCCATCGTCACTTTAGCCAGTTTCTCATTTTTTAAAAATATAAGTTACTATTTTTAATCTTCTACAGTATTGGGTTTTCATTTTTGTTGAAATGAAATTCACATACTATTAAATTCATCCTTTTAAAGGGTACAAGTCAGTGGTTTTAATATATTTACAAGATCGGTGACTGTTACCACTATCAAGTTCAGAAGCATTGTCATTATACCAAAAAGAAACTCCATACTCATTAGCAGTCATTCCTCATTTTTCTTTGCCCCTAGCCCCTGGCAACCACTAATCTACTTTGTCTCTCTGTTCTGCCCATTTTGGACATTTCATATAAGTAGAATCATACAGTGTGTGGTCTTTTGTGTCTGGCTTTTTTCATTAACACAGTGTTTTCAAGGTTCATCCATGCTGTAGCAGGTATCAGTACTTCATAGTTACATAATATGTAATTGTATGGATAGACTATATTTTGTTTACCCATTCATTAATAGACATTTGGGTTGTTTCCACTTTCTGGGTATTATGAATAATGCTGCTGTGAACATTTGTTTGCAAGTTTTTCTGTGAATATATGTTTTCACTTCTCTTGGATATATACCTAGGAGAGTAATTTTGGGTCATGTGCTGACTCCATAACTCTCTGAGGAACTGCCAGACTGGTTAGTTAATTTCTTGATAATTTTTACTTAGACAGTCTGGTAAGAGAATGTAAATGACAATTCCAGGATTCGGTCCTTCCTTTCTATAAAATTGATTTACTCTAATGTTCTTACAAAGAAAAATTTCATAAACTTGTTTACTGAATGTCTTTAGAAATGTCTTTGTTAAATGTATCCTGACTAATGATGGAAGTTAGTTGTCATGTTTTATAGAAATTTAAAAATTTTCTCATTACCAAATTAAAAGGTTTGTTAATAGTGGTCCATTGGGCCATGGAAATACGTAAGTTTTCATGGATTCCATATAATTAATATATTCTGATTGTTGAATTGCTTCTCTTACAGGGTTTTGACTCTGGGAGGAGGGCTGCCTTACTTGGAGCACCTTAATCTCTCTGGTTGTCTTACTGTAACTGGTGCAGGCCTGCAGGATTTGGTTTCAGCATGTCCTTCTCTAAATGATGAATACTTTTACTACTGTGACAACATTAACGGTAATGCCTTTTAACAATGAGATAATTTTGGAGGAGTTGATTTAGAAATTTTTAACAGTGCTGATAATTCTTAGTGTTTCTATTTTGTTATTTAGATTTCTAGTTGCCAGATATTTTTACTTTCAGTTTTAGTCCTTTTCCAAAGTTAAATTGTTCTTAATGGGGAGTTATTTCAGCTATCCATTCTTTAGATTTTATAAGCATGTAATTGTTTAATCAGCCCAAAGTGGCAAGTTGTTGTAGAATTACTAACATTCTTACAAAATTTTGGGAAATTCCTCTATCGTGAAAGAGTACTCATGAACAATTTAGAAGTATTGATGTTCTAGGTACATCTAATTCTTAGGGATGGTAGAGTAGTTTTCTTGGAGGATAATTTCATAAAATATAATAGAAGAAGAAGCATTTTGGTAATGGGAGCTCTTCATGGATCCTGGATCTCGTTCCAAATAAATCTCAGAGAAGAGTGAGGAGGATGGTCCGAGTGGTATTGGGAAGAGGCTTGAGATGCTTTAAACATGACTAAAATTCTTACAGTATTTTGGAGATTGATTCCTGAACCTCCTTTTAACAATCATGAGATAAAACTTTCCTTGATTTTTTTTTTCGTTTGTTTTTTAAGCCTATCCCTGCCTTGTAGTGGGCCTGTTTAACGAGCTTTTCGGGCCTATTTAGTGTATTTTCTCAAAGTAACGTACAGTGCCCCCCGTTGGACATTTCATAGTCACTGGTAGAGACTGAAGTTCTGAGGCATAAAAAGCTGTTCCTCAATTATTAGTAAGCAAATCAACCTCCTGTATTTATAACTGGAAAAAATGTACATGGTTCAGATTCCACTATGTGTTTTTACATTATATATTGTTATTTTTGAGAACCCAGTTCATCTGAAGGTGGTGGGAAGATAACCGGGTTTCTCTCAGGCAGAAAAATTGACAGGAGCCAAGAAGACTAGAGGAATGGTCTCTACTTTAATAACATTTATAGTAGGCAGAGAAGTTAGCAAATCTGCTGTTTCACAGAGATTAGGTTTTCCTTAAGATATATATGAAGAGACAGGAGATAGCAGCTCCCTGGTTTCTGGACTCACACTGGCAATGCAGGAGGTGGCTTCCCATGTCTTTGAAATAGCAGCACTAAGTTGGAGCATTTCTTTGCTCTCTGTTGCCATCGGTGTATAATAAGGAATGGTGAAGATGAAGGTCGTTTTAGTTGCAACCCACTAAGTGTACAAAAGAAAGTGTGATTGCTACAGTGAAACACTTGCTGCTTCTGCGGATGCAGTGAGTTTGAGAAGGGAGTTTTTTTTTTAATATACAGTTATGTCATTGTAGGTTCAGTGTTACTTACTAAGGCTTCTAGGACATATTAATGAAAAGTAATCGGTAAGCAATCTTTTTTTTTTAATAAGAAAAGCATCTTATTGGTAGGTTGCACTTGAATTGTTTATATTGATTTCAGCATAGACTATGCTTGTGGGAATAAATCTCATAACCGAATTCGTTACATTTATTTTGGAATATATATAGATACTGGGTTGGTAGGTGGATTGGGTTTCACTTCATTTTTATATTTGCCTACTTGTTTTGTGTGTGTGTGTTTTAAGACTTCTTGAAGTAATCTAAATGATAGTATAAAGTTAAATACTTAAAATCTTTTGTACTTTGTTAGTATGTTAGAATTCCTTTCATATTGACTGGTTTCAAATATATAAATATTAATATGTTCCAAAGGAGTGGCTACATTCCTTTTATTGAACGTTAAGTTTTTTTTTTTTGATAAATGAGTGGTCCATTTTCAATAAATGAATTTTAATAAATATGTCTGACTTTGAAAGGTTTGAAAGGAAATTTACAGTGCTTATATAATCCAGTACCAAGTCTCTTTTTACAGCTTCATGATTTGGGGGAAATGGAAATCCTTTAAAGTTTACAGGGTAACTTGTCATATGAACTTATGTTCTAGAGTTCTAACCAGTTGCTCTTAAAGCAATCCTCTGCTGTAATCGTTTCCTTTAAAAGACATATGGACAACCTAGAAAGTATTAGAATAAAGTTGCATTTTATCCAGTTTTGCGAGATGACATGGTTGATCCAGTATCTTTCATTACAGTTTCCTTGTATAGTAAATATTTAGTAACTGCTAAGGTCTTCCTTTTTATTATTATTTTTTATTATTTCTGAAAGTAGTTATGTTTTATACATGGTCTTAGGCTAATAGGGGGTATGTTTAGGTGACAGATTATATTTTAATATTTGAGAGTAACATTTAACTAAAAATGTGTTTTGTCAAAAGAGAGTTTACATAGTTAACTACCTAAAAGAAGTAAATACTGATAAATAATATTCATTAACTAAATAACAGTGATAAATAAAACAAAATTTTCTGTTTCCTAAGCAATAGCAGACATTTTGGAAAAGATAAATAAGTAATCAGATACTCAGACAAAGTCTACTGTGTGGAAGACAGTTTACTAAGCATTGACATAAATGTCATTTTTATTCTGAATGATTCTTCATGACATTTAAATTTGTTATTTGATTGATAAACAAGTTAAGATTTAGACATAAAACAAGAATTCTTAGCCATAACATTTAAAAGATTCTATGTCATTTAAGAAGTGTTAGGTAGAATTGCACAATTTCAGAGCTCTGAAGAACATTGGATCAATGATAGCAAATAAACTTTTGGCTTGATTTGCATTTCAATGTATGTTTAATTTATGAATTAAGATAGATTAGCTCATAGTTCTGTAGGTGACACAGTCTCAGATGATTTGCTTTCTTATGTTTCTAATTTAAGTTAAAGAGGAATTCAAGGTAAGTGAAGGTAAGTGCAGATATACAGCAGAAGTAATATGCGTAAAATCTAGGAAAAACATGTCATTCAGTAAGAAAAATGTGGGAAAATAACAATAGCTAGTAAAGTTGTAGTTCTTCTTATCTGATTTTTTAAAATGCTTTTTTACAAAATTTATTTTTTTACCATGCATTTAAAGATTTTATTTGTGCAAGTTTTTTCTATTTTCTTTGTTATTTAATACAATTTATCCCTCATATGTTGTAGCCATTTGAGTTTTTTATCTCATACCAAGATCAGCATTTACGGATTATAAGTCAAATACTCACCTTTTGAATTCTGTGTCTGTGGAAGTGCACATTCCTACTTGAGATACTTAGTGTTAGTCATACTTCTTTCTAATGCTGCCTCACTTTTCCTGTTGTCTGTTTATTCTGTTTTCCATTTGCTCCCTTTTCTGAACAATCTTTCTGTGATGCTAACGGCCCTACTGTTAATCATTGCGTACGATGTCCGTTCTTTGGAAATTGCTGTTCTCCCCTTTTTTATATAGTATGAAACTAACAAGTTAAAAACAGTGGTTGTCTTCACCTTTGCTTTGCCCCAGGCCTTCAACAAAATACAATTCCTTCATGGATGATGTCACTTTTATGGATTATTAGGATAGTCACCTGAATGTCATTGACCTTATGATGGGATTGGAGCTTGGAGGTCGTTGGTGTTGGTATTGGTATTAGTGTTGGTTAAGTACAATTTATGCACCGAGAATTCCAGTGAAACTCAGATGTTCTAGTGCGTATTTGAGGGAGGGCGCACACATCAGTATGAGCGAGAACTTTGTTTTGTGATGAATAAGGAGATCCTGACAGATGTCAGCATTACATTCTACCTAATATGGGGCACATATTTTTAGTTCTACATTTTTCTTCCCCAATTATCCGTAATACCATCCCTTAGACTTTGAGAGCAAAGAGTGACTCAGGTCACCAGGGTGTAGGCTGAGCATACTGGGCCCCTGTATTTTGGGGAGGATGATGAAAACCTGTGTGATACAGGCACACCTCAGCAATATTGCAGGTTCGGTTCCAAACCACCGTAATAAAGTGACTATTGCAATAAAGTGAGCGACATGAATATTTTGGTTTGCCAGTGCATGTAAAGATTACATTTACACTACACTATAGTCTATTAAGTGCAATACTATTATGTCTTAAAAAGCAATGTTCATATCTTAATTTAAAAATATTTTATTGCTAAAAAATGCTTACCATCATCTGAGCCTTCATTGATTCATAATAGTAACATCAGAGATAACCGAGCACAAATCACCATAACATAATCATAATGAAAAAGCTTGAAATGCTGAGAGTTACCAAAATGTGACGCAAGACAAGAAGTCAGCAAGTGCTATTGGGAAGATGATGCCAGTAGACTTGCTCAATGCAAGGTTGCCACAAACCTCCAGTTTGTAAAAAAAAAAAAAAAAAAAAAAGCAAAATCTGTAAAGTGCAATAAAGCAAAGCACAATTAAATGAAGTATGCCTGTGTTTGGAAAACGATGAAACTTTTGAATAGCTTCCTTGATCCAGTTGGCTCCTTTAAAGCTGTTTTCTCTCTTGAAAATCAGTAGCATGCTTCATTTTGATTGCTTTCAGCCATTGCTTATGATTTTTCATAGGCCACTGTTGATTTTAGTATAAAATTTCTTCCTTGCCTTTCTATCCTTTTGAAAAATAGGAATATAGATATTTTGAAGTGTTTTAGGGAGTTTCAGTTTGGAATATTGCACCAAAGTCTCCATTTCTCTTTCTTCATATTTCTCCCTTTCAAAAAATTTAAAATTATATACTGAGAAAATGATAGTCAGATATGTTTTTACAAAAGCCACCAGTTCAAGCATTTCATCACAGGGACTGTGTCAGTTCAGGGCAATGGTAATGAGGCAGGGGACTGTGTCCTGGAGAAAGTCTCTACTTGGTGACTGGCAGATAAAAGCAGTAACCAATGTAAGTGGTGAAGAAAGGAAAGCAAAGAAAGGGCTCCAGGAATAGTAGTTAAAGCTGAAAATGTATTCAAGAGGAAAACCTGGTTAGAGGTTATTAGTGAGAGAAGAGTATCAAGCCATAGGACCCCTTACGAGGGCATTTCTAATATCTGATGGTATGAACTAGGAAATTTCATTTTGGCTCTGTAGTTAAGATGACTAACATTGTGTCTTATTTTAAGGGGAAATAATCTTAGGAAAAATGCCATTTCGTGAATTCAAAGCATTTGACACATTTACCTTTTCATGTTAAAATTGGAACAGATTTTAATTTTGATTAAATAAAGAATAGGCTGTGGTAATTCAATTTTATATTTAAAATGATTTTAAATTTTAATTATGGGAAATTTTAAAAACATAAACATAATAATACAATGAACCCTCATGTATCATTGGCTTCAGCAGTTATAACCTGTGGCCAGTCTTTTTCTCATATAGCATTGCCCATTCCCATACCTGCTCCCCATTTTCCAGGTATCATATTAATTTTACAAGTTAAACATAAGTATTTGAAAGTAAGTGAAATTAGAAGAAACTGCAGTCCCAGTATGCTTGTAGAGTTCAGTAGTTTCTTTTCTTACTTAAAGATACATTATTATTTCCATAGTGAAATATGTGAACATTATACTTAATTGATTGCATAGCCTAAGAAATTTGCCTTTTATATTAATCTTATATATTGCCATTTCAGGAATACAAAGAAAAGTTAAACTCTGGGAAATGTATGTTTTATGTGTTTAGTTGCAAGTAATTATTTTCTTATGTTGATATTAGCATAGTTGCTGCCTTTTGCAATGGATTACTACTTTAAAAAACAAAACAAAGTAATTTCACATTTTTTCTGAGTTAAAGTCTAGATTCATTTCAGGGTGCTATGCTTTTTCAATTATAATCCATTTGATATATTCTATAATGAAATTATATTTCATGTACTTTTGTGGTCCTTATCACAATTACAGGTATTTTGGTTCTAACTGATGAGTAAAGAACTCATTAACTTTGTTCATGATGCAACCCTTCAGGGCTTCAATGTAGTCAAAACATCTTTTCCACATTTGCCTGCCTTTATGAAAACTGTGACTCATTCAGAGTACTCAATATTTGAATATGTGTCGTGGTAACTCTTTGACATTTTCTAATTCTGAGCAATGTTCCCTGATGGATCTTTTAATCTAGTGTTTGGGTAGCATACTGTGATTAGAATAAAACCTCAGTTATTCCACAGATATTTTATTACTTTTCTTTGTAATTAAATCACAATTTTATTATGTCTTAGATATGTTTATTTAATTAATTACTCATTATATTCTTAATTCTGCAAGATAATTTCATCTAGCCCTACCATATGATTTTTTTGGGGTACAGATGTTAAATAAAAATATGGCAGACATGTTAAGGCTATGTCTGCATAGTTTATTTTTAACATATTTTGAAGATAATATTTATTGTAATTGCTCAATACTGGATTCTTTAGCTTATTGCTTACAAATAGGGTTGTTTTTGCCTTAATTATGTTTCTAGGAAGGATGTTCATGGTATAAGAAATCCATTGTTAAGTTAGCCTGGCAGTATTGCTTCTGTGGGTTATCTCATTTCTTCTTGGATTTTTTATTTTGTAAGATTGTTGCCAAAAAAATTATTTCTTTTCCTTCTTTCTTTTCATTTAACTATATTACAGTCAAGCTGCTATTGGTGATTTTTGTTTCCAAATAATTTTTTATACATTCATTGTGAGGTATTTTTACTTCTATAAGTGTATTACTAGTAAAAAAGAAAAATCAGTGTTTTACTTTTTTCATTAGCAAGATTATTTTTATGTGATAAGAAATTCCTCCTTTCACACTTTTCTGTTTTCATACAGGTCCTCATGCTGACACCGCCAGCGGATGCCAGAATTTGCAGTGTGGTTTTCGAGCCTGCTGCCGCTCTGGCGAATGACCCTTGACTTCTGACCTTTGTCTACTTCATTTAGCTGAGCAGGCTTCCTTTCATGCACTTTACTTATAGCACATTTCTTGTGTTAACCATCCTTTTTTGAGTGTGACTTGTTTTGGCCCCATTTCTTACGGCCTCAAAAATCTTAATTTACTGGTGAATTGTACAGTGTTGTTTCTCTTGCAGATCGTATTTTTGTTTTAGAAAGGGACTAGATCTTTTCATAGGATGAGAACAGTTTCATCTGATTTCTTTTAAATTGAATACTTTGGGGGAAAAATGTCACTAATGCCATGCTATTTAAAGTATTTTTTAGATTACTTTGAGTTTTGAAGTCAATGGGGTTATTGGTTCTCCTTATAGGTAAACACTGTACCAAGCTTTGCAGATCTTTTCAGACATACATTTCTGAAATTTTATTTTGGAAAGTGGTCTCTTTTCCAAAGTATTTCCTTTATTTGAACAATTCTCAGAGGGCCAATTCAGACATACCTACATATGATTCTTTAAGATTATAAAATAAATTGGCTTCTTGGTGTTAGCTCAGGGAGCTGGCACAGCACCAGTGCATCTGCATTTGCTTTTTTCAAAGACCCCTGGTTCCCACCACAGTCCCTAAATTGTCACGTTTGGGAGGGGTTTTTAAAAGTTCCACAATCATTTGAAGAAATGTATAAATAAAATCTACTTTGAGGACTTACCAAGTAATTTCTTTTGTGTTTTGATTTTGTTGTAAATCTCAATCCAGGGTTACTTTACTGTGAAATAGAACTAAATATTTTGTCTTTTGAGCTTCCATGAAATCATGACCCTGACAGTTAGTTTTAGACGGATACCTAATTTTGTTGAGCTGAATTGTCTTTTTGAAATGAATTGTGCAGTAGTCAGAATTTAAACTTGTAAGTTTATCTTTATTGCTGTGTGAAACGAGAATTGGAGTGGAGACCTATTATACAGAAAGGCACGTGTTGAGTCAGTTTTATGTCATGCTGTGTATAATTTTACATCACGAAGAAGAGAACAATCTGCAGCATGTCTTCTGTTTTTATAAATACCTGCAAGGCTGTGGAAGAGGAGGTGGTCTTGTAATCTTGTTCTTTGTAGTCCCAGGTATTTTTTGTTTATTTTATTGGGGGAGAGGAGTAGGAAAGATGTAAACTACAGGTAGACAGATTGCAGTTTAGGCTTTATTTTACACAGTTTTCTAAAGGTAAAAGAAGAATCATTTGATGGGAATATGAACAAGAGAAAACTCAGCTTTTAAACTTACTTTGAATGACATTTGAGTTAAACACTTCAAGGGCAGATCACCTTTAAGGGAGGACATCTAATGACTCTGAAATTTCACCTTCCTCTAAGGGTTCTCTCATTTTGATTCCATCGCTGTTAACATTTGCAAAATAAAAGATGGAACCCCGTAAGTTTCTTGAATGAGGGGTAAGGTAGCTGTATAAGCAGACCATCTTACCTTTTGAGTTTGTCTCTTAGCTTAAAGTCCTCGGGTCTTTTGTGACACCACTACACCTAGCTGTCTGCTTTAAAAGTCTGGCTTAAGCACAAAGGAAAAAAGTCAAGACTTAGAGAAACTGAAAGGAAATTTGAGTTTAGTGAGCAGTTACAGGGTCAGAAGTAGGTCAGAAGTTATTTTGTAGGTTGACTGTTTTGTGGTCACTATATTTTTATTTCCTTAAGTATTTAATACAGTTTATTTGAAAAATTGACATCAGGGACTATTTCAGGAAAGCAAGCTTAAATAAATCTTCTGGAGTGAGTCCTATTCAACCCCATACTTCATCTCTTAAGTATTTATATGAATTGCATGGTAAAATTACTTATCTGTAACCATGGTTCTGAGTCATCAAGGGAGGACTAAAATTTATACCCCATGTAATCAGAAAACAGTGTAATATTTTGGGAGTAAAATTTTTGATCATACTTACAGACAAAAAAATCATGATTAAATGATATTTTGGGACTTAGCCTAAGTGTATTCATTATAAATTAATTAATTTGAGCAGTTGATTTCCCAGAGGTTCCAGGTAATTGAGGTGCCTCCCCACTTTTGCTCTGTCCTGTACTACTTGATGTTAGCAAACCATTTAATAGGATTGGCAATCTTGAACCAAACTGACTTCAACATGTGAGCACATTTCATGTGGAAACTGATTTTCTCCTCCCCCGCCGCCAGAAATTCCATGGGGAGATAGCATAATCTGTATTTAACTTTTAAATATTATTGGTATTTCTTTTCTTTTTTAAAAATTATTCTTTTTTTATTGAAGTGTGGTTGATTTAAAATGTTCATTTCAGGTGTACAGCAACATGATACAGTTATACATATATATACATACATACATATATGTTCAGTTTCTTTTCCATTGTGGCTTATTACAAGAAATTGAATATTGTTCCCTATGGTATACAGTAGGTCCTTGCTGCTTATCCACGTCACATACAGTAATGTATATCCATCAATCCCAAACTCCCTTATTGCTCTTCCACTATTAAGGGGGCAGTTAATACTTTAAATTTTTTAAAAATTCATTTTTCATTGAAATATAGTTGACATACATTATGTTAATTTCAAGTATATGGCATAATTATTTGATATTTGCATATATTATGAAATGGTCATACATCTGCGATACGCCTGGTAATCATCTGTATCCATATAAAGTTCTTACTGTGTTACTGACCATATTCTTTATGCTGTATATTATGTCCTTATGATTTTATATAACAGGGTTTGTACCTTTTAATCCTCTTCCCCTATTTCCCCCACTCCCCCATGCCCCTCCCTTGTGGCAGCCACTGGTTTTCTGTATCTGTGAGACTGCTTTTGTGTTGTTTTTTAAATTCCACATATAAGTGAAATCATGTATTTGTCTTTCTCTGCCTTATTTCACTTAACATAATATCCTTTAGACCATCCATGTTCTTGAGTGGCAAGATGTCTTTTTTTAATGGCTGAGTAATGTGTGTGTGTGTGTGTGTGTGTGTGTATCTTACACCTTTATCTGTTTTTCTTTCCGTGGACACTTAGGTTGCTTCCGTATAGTGGCTGGGTTGTAAGTAATGTAGCAGTGAACACTGGAGTGCATGTAACTTTTCGACTTAGTGTTTTTGTTTTCTTCAGATGTACTCAGAAGGGAAATTGTTGGGTCATACGGCATTCTACTTTAAAATTTTTGAGGAACCTCCATACTGTTTTCCATAGGGGCTGCCTCAACTTACAGTCCCATCTACAGCTCACAAGGGTTCCCTTTTCTCCACATGTTACCAGCACTTGTTATTTGTTGGCTTTTGGTTGATAGCCATTCTGATAGGTGTGAGATGGTATCTCACGGTGGTTTTGATTTGCATTTCCCTGGTTATTGTGATGTTGAGCATCTTTTCATGTGTCTGTTGGCCATCTGTATGTTTTTGGAAAAATATTCAGATCCTTTGTCCATTTTTTAATCTGTTGGTTTGTTTTTTTGATGTCAAATTGTATGAGTTCTTTGTGTATTTTGGATATTAACCCTTTGTCAGATAAATCATTTACAAATATCTTCTCCCATTCAGTAGGCTGCCTTTTTGTTTTGAGAGGTTTTAATTTTTGCTGTACAAAAGCTTTTTAGTTTGATGTAGTCCTATTTGCTTGTTTTTGCTTTTGTTGCCCTTACCTGAAAAGACATATCCAAACTATTGCTAAGACTAGTGTCAAAGAGCATACTCTGTTTTATTCGGGGAGTTTTGTGGTTTCAGATCTTTCAGTTAAGTCTTTAATCCATTTTGAGTTTATTTTTGTATGTGGTGTGAGAAAGTAGTCCAATTTGATTCTTTTGCATGTTGCTGTCCAGTTTTCCCAGTTCCATTTCCCCATTATATATTCTTACCTCCTTTCTTATAGATTAATTGGTCCTAAGTGTGGATTTACTTCTGGACTCTCTATTCTGTTCCATTGATATATCTATTTGTTTACATGTGCCAGCACCATACCATGTTAATTACTGTAGTTTTGTAGTATAGTTAGAAATCAGGGAGCATGATACTTCCAGCTTTTTTTTTCTTTTTCAAGATCATTTTGGCTATTCAGGGTCTTAAGTGTTTCCATTCAATTTTAGAATTATTTATTCTAGTTCTGTGACAGATGGCATTGGTATTTTGATAGGGATTACATTGAATCTGTAGATTGTCTTGATTAGTATGATCATTTTAACAATATTATTTCTTCAGTCTATGAGCATGGTATATCTTCCCATTTGCTTATGAAGTCTTCAGTTTCTTTAATCAGTGTCTTGACTTTTTTGAGTGCAAACCTTTTATCTCTTTGGCTAAGTTTATTCCTAGATCTTTTACTCTTTTTGATGCAGTTGTAAATGGGATTGTTTTCTTAATTTATCTTTCTGATAGTTGATTGTTACTGTATAGAAATGCAGCAGATTTCCACGCAGTCAGCCCTCCGTAAAGTGGGTTCTGCATCCACAGTGTTCAACCAAATACAGGTGGAAAATACTCCACAGTCTCTGGTTGGTTGAGTCTGTGGATACCGAACCTGCAGATAAGGAGGATCAGCTGTAAGGGACTCAAGAATCTGCAGACTTAGGTTTCCATAGGGGGTCCTGGAACCAATCCCTTGCATATACTGAGGAATGACTATATACTAATTTTGAATTCTGCACTTTTATTGAATTCATTTATTAATTCGGATAGTATTTTGGTGGTGTCTTCAGGATTTTCTGTATATTGTATCATGTCATCTGCAAGCAGTGACAGTTTTATGTTTTCCTTTCCAATTTGGTTGCTTTTTATTCTTTTTTCTTGTCTGATTGCTGTGGCTAGGACTTCCAGTAATATATTGAAAGTGGCATATGAGTGAAAGTTTCATATGAATGAAAGTGGCAAGAGTAGGCATCTTTGTCTGGTTCCTGATCTTAGAGGAAAAACTTTCAGCTTTTCACTTTTGAGTGTGATGTTGGCTGTGGATTTGTCATATTTGGCCTTTATTATGTTGAGGTATGTTCCCTCTGTACTTAACTGTGTTGAGAGTTTTTTTTTTATCATAAATGAACATTGAATTTTTTCAAAAACCTTTTCTGCTTCTCTTGAGATGATCATGTGGTTTTTATTATTCTGTTTGTTAAGGTGGTATAACACTTTCATTGATTTGCAGATACTGAATCATCCGTGCATCCCTGGGATAAATTCTACTTGATCATGGTGTATGATCCTTTTAAAGATTGTTGAATTTGGTTTGCTTATATTTTATTGAGGATTTTTTTGCATCTATGTTCATCAGTGATATTGGTCTTTTTTTTTTTTTTTTGCAGTATCTTTGGTTTTGGTATCAGGGTGATTCTGTCCTCATTGAATGAGTTAGGAAGGGTTTCTTTCTCTTCAGTTTTTTGGAATAGTTTGATGATAGATGCTAATTTCTCTTCATATATTTGGTAGAGTTCACCAGTGAAGCTGTCTGATCCTGGACTTCAGTTTATTAGGAGTGTTTTGATTACTGATTCAATTTCATACTGGGTAATTTGTCTTTTCATATTTTCTGTTTCTTCCTAATGTAGTCTAGGAAGGTTGTACATTTCTAGGAATTTATTCATTTCTTGTAGGTTGTCTGTTTTATTGGCATATAAGTGCTCATAATAATCTCTTATGATTCTTTGTATTTCTGTAGTGTTGGTTGTAACATCTCATCTTTCATTTTTTATTTTATTTAT